TTCAGGTTTCGTATATCATTTCATTTTGTAGCTAAAAGAAAAACAGAACTGAATCAGGACATCGACATCGAAAATATCGTCTGACGAAATGTGCCATGTGTTTTTGTTGTTACATACATATGTAAAATTGCTCAAATCGATGTAACATGTAAATAACAACAAAAAACTATTACTAGTACTCTTTCTATGTAATCCGTCAGGTAAAATTATTTTCTTTAATAGTTGCGTCATTCTGTAACGTTTTTTTTGTTCGTTGCACAATCAAACCACTCTACATAAATGTTACCGATTCAATACAAAAATAAATAATCAGTGAAAAAATATTAAAATGTAAAATTTATGATCCACCATATGTACAATCAAAACGAGATATTTCTACATTTTTATTCCTCTTTTTTTTTTTAAAATGTTATATTGTAGCTAATTAAATCTAATACAGAGGAACAGGAAAACGCGGCGGCTTAACCGGCGGCGATTGCGGCGGACCTTGAACATCGACGGCGATCTTCTCCGGTCGAGGAGGTGCACACGGACACGGCAATGCTATAAATTTCGGTGTATTATCTCCAGGCATCAAAACCGGAACACTCAGATTCTGATTTTTCTTCAAATCCTGTTCATAGTAATTACGTCATTAGTTACTAATCAAATTATAGTAAAAACTAATTAAAAATGCTCCGATTTAGTTTACTTTACATAACACAAATTCAAATTTTCAACTTCTACCCCCAAATAGAATACAGTTTCTTCAAGATAGTAATGTTACTCCTTTTGTCCAATTTTTTTTAAAACCCCTTATTTTGTCTTTTACTTTACATTTAGCAACCAAAGATAGTTTTAATGTCCCGATTTAGCAACTCAAATCTTTAAGACGAAAATAAAATTTTGTTTTCTTAACTAAATCACTAATATTAACTACAATTTTTGTGTTTACATCACTCTGTTTTTGTCCCCTACACGTTTCGAATTGTAAATGAGAAATAGCTATAAGAAAATTAATATTTTGGTGAAAAAATTGTAATACATCGAGCACCAAAATTTGGAAATTAATATAAATTTTTCTAAAGGAGGAGAGTATTACCGGAAAAGGGGGTTTAGGTTTAAACGGAGAAGACTCAATGTCGGAGGAGACGGCGGAGGGATGACCGGAGGCATTGGCTAAAGAACGGCGGAGAGAGCGATGTTTGTCCCAATGGTAACAACAAGAGAATATTCCGGAGAGACTGAAAATGATTATGAGAAGCAGAGCCGTGCCTAGAGGAAATCCTAGTGACGGCCGAGAAGCGTCGATGTGCGGCGGCGAAAAATCTTGAGTGTTCTCCATTCACGGCGGCGATAT